CAGAGCACAAAAACCTTTTTGTAACAAAATATCGATTTCTGCTGTCCCTGTATCGATACATTATTAGCAAACAAAATATCACCATACTACACAGTATCAATTTTTTCCCCACCCCTACTAATTAAGGGCAGCTGTGACATAATTCTTGCACTAGGTGGTGGTCTGATAAATTAACACTGTAAACGGGTCAAAAGTCAAAAACAAACCAGAATGGTCAGAGTGTTTGTGTTTCATGTAATTGTTAATAGTTAATGTGCTCATTGTAGTTTTGTCCTAGGATTGTCCTCATAATTACTTCAGCAGCTAAAGCAAAATTTGAATATTTTTAAACTGAGACATTATTATAAGACTTTTCATTATTGTAATTTAAATATAAAGATGTTTGCTTTCACTTTTACAAAGCAAAATACGGATTGAACTCAACAACTGACTGCAAAAGTTTTACATGAGGACAGTCCTAATATCTGATTTTGTGAATGAAGTGTTAAACCATAGCTGCTGTCTTTGGATATTATTATCCAATGTCCTGCTCAATATTTCCTGACAGAGGAAACCACCATCACCACTGTGGAAGAACAAGAGGAAACCTACTACACTGGTGTCCAGTTACCACAAAAAGCTAAAACACTTGAACTCAAGCCAGATTCTAAAGTTTACTCTTCCACTTTAGAGAAAAAGAAAGAAAAGCCCGTTTTCCTTACTCAGCTCTCCGGAGCAGCTGTAAACACGGGGGAAACCACCAGGTTTACAGTTAGAGTATCAGGCTTTCCAAAGCCAACTGTGCAATGGTCTCACAATGGAAAGGTTGTAAAGAGCTCTTCTGTATACAAGCTGATAGAGGAGAAGGATGAGTACACACTGGTTATCACCCAAGTCACGTCTGAATATGAGGGCAAGTACTCGTGCACTGCCACGAATAGATTTGGCCAGACGACATGCACCACGTACCTGGAGGTGAAAAAGCCTGAAACCAGCCAGGCAGAGAAATGGGTCGAGAAGATGTTTAAGCTCACAGGTCAGCCTGCTAGTTTCACACTTCAGATACAACCCGTGAGGTGCTCAGAAGGAACAGAGGCTTCTTTTAATTACAAAGTCAGTGGTGATCCGGTCCCTGATATAAAGTGGTTCAAGGGGCCTTTCCAGATCCAGCCCAGTAGAAACTGTACCATTAGAACCAATTCAGATGGATCTGGTTTCATCATTGTTAAGAATGTCAAACAACAGGACAGCGGCTTATACACATGTAAAGCCTCCAACCAATTTGGTGAGACCGCTTGTAGTGCAGAGCTTGTTGTATTCAAAGAATCAGTCTCTGCTTCTCGCAAACAGGAGACAACCGTTCAGAAGAAAGGTTACAAGGTTTCAATGACAGAACAAGCAACAGAGTCACGCTTGTACCAGGTCAGCCTCCCAGGCCAGGATAAAGCTAAGTCAGGTCAGATGGTTTACACCATCGGCACAGAAGATCGGCAGATCATTCCCAGCGAGCAAGTGAGCTCCCTTAGAGAAGTAGATGTCTCCACTGCCACTGTGTACCGCGAGAGGGTTACCCACCAGGCGGCAATACTTCAGGCACATGAGACAGAGGAACGGGTGTCTGTGGTTCCTACTCACCCAGACCAAGTGTCAGCTGTTCCTGCGAAACAGCTTCACATGGCAGCATTCACATCGTCTGTTGAAGAGAGTCAGGACCTCACAGAGCAGCACTGCGATGACATTCAAACGCCAGATCTCATTGAGCTTCAGGCAGTCAGTGAAAAAAAGTCAAAACACACGTTAGCAGTTGTTGAGGAGCTCACACCACTCTCTGCTGTTAGCACACAGGGTGACAGGAAGTCTGCTACTGTTAAAATCACTTCAGAACCTAAACATCTAGTCAGTGGTCATCAAGTGAAAACACAACTGTCAATCCTGAAAGAGGAGTCTCAGGAGATCCCCAAACCACAGGAAGAGATGGGTTATAAGGTTAAGGAAGGTATTAAGATTTTATACTCGGCCCAGTCCACAGAAAAGCAGGTGCTTGCAGAGGGTCACACAACTGAGTTAGCAACAGCAGAATCTGCTGTTAAGTCTGCAATTAGAAAAGAACATAAGCCACCTGTCACAGCTTTAGTGAACGAGTCTAAGCAAACTCTTTGCAAGGAGTCAGAATTCACTATTCAGAGGCCTGCTGAGGAAGCAGCCCATACCTGTAAAGATACAATGATGAAAGCAGCTCTAACTGCTGAAGAGATACAAATGCTGCAGGGTGAGTCCACACAGTTGCTTCCTAGTCTAGACAGTGCCATGTCCATTACGTCCCAGATAGAAGGAAAGCAGTTGTTACACCTGCAGGTTATAACAGAACAGGACCTCCTTCCATCTGAGGAAAGAATAACATATGAAAAACCAACGCCAGAGCAGGCAGGGACCAGGAAGAGTCCCACTTTGCTACATACTGTTAGTCAGGATGAGCAGAGAACAGTAGTTTGTGAGGCTACATCAGAGTTTGACTCCAAGGCAGACACTATAACCATAGAGCACCAGAAAGAGGCCCCTACCCTGCTGCATCTCCAGTCAACCCAGCCTGTGGAGGTCCTACCCAAAGAGGGCATTCTCACAGTTGAGAAGCCTGACCAGCTGGTGGCAATGCAGAAACAAGAAAAGGCAAGAAGCCACGCAGCTCTTTCAGAAGAGAAACGAGAGCTCACAGCTGATTTTTACTCAGAACTGGATTTGTCCTTGTCTGGAGTTCAGTCTCAGTCTCGAACTGAGCCCGAGCCACAAAGTATCCTCCAGCTGTGCTACCAGCCTGTGCAGCTGTCAAAAGAGACACCAGTTAGCACAGAGTGCAAGCATCAGCGAGCTCTGCTACAGAAGGAGGATCGCTGGAACGTGATGCATGTCACTTCTGTGACAGACGAACAGGCTTTGGAGGAGGGCCACACAGATCATTTAACAGCTATAGACAGATTCACATGTCAGACAACTGTAGAGCCAAAAGTACCCACTGAGCCAATCCAGATTGAGGAGAAAGAGATCTCCACTGAGAGCAGTGTCTTTCTAAAGGCAGCAGAACAGGACTTTGCTGTTCAGATCCAAGAGGGTCAGTCAGTCAGGCAGTCAGTAATGATGGACGAGAAGCGAGTGCTGACAGGTGAATTCTCTCAAGAGATCACCAAGTCTGAGACCACCAAAGTTGCTGTTAATGCACAGCAAAAATTGTCCCTTTTGGCACCAGAATCTAAAGATATTACAGCTCTGCCTAAAGAGATGACATTTGTGATCCAGATCCCTAAATCGTCCACTTCAAATATACAGCGTCAGCTCAGAGATGCTCTTCAGTCTGCTGTAGCCAGTGAACAGCCAGTGTTACTAGCTGAAGTTGTAGGACACCTGCACGCTGTAGAAGTACAGGAAGTCAAGGTTCAAAGAGAGCCCAAGTGGGCCATGTTCACATATCTGATCACAACAACAGGTGCCCCTGTGGAGATCACTCTAGCTTTTGAGGGGGAATACCCTCAGACAGCTGACCTCAGGACTGAGGTTCAGGCAGCATTTCACTCCATGGTATATCAGGAGGCCCATGTTCTTACTTCAGAACAGCAAGGCACCATGCAACTAGACAAACCTCAGAGGGCACAAGTCACCTCAGCTCGCTCTAGCGAAACAGTATCATCCATAGTAAAGACTGTGAGCGTGACAGAGAGCGCAGCGGATTTTACTGCTGTTAAATCTCATTCGGCATCACTTCAAACTGAGTCTAAAATGGCAGTTGAGCATGCTACATTGGAGGAACAGGTGGTAGTGCAGGAATCCATGGACACAAAGGTAAAACGGTCATCCCATATCAAAATTCAAACTGAAGGTCGCATAGCTTCTGAGCAGTCAGAGCAAGTTTCAAGACAGGAGGTGAGGTCAACAATCATTACAAGTCAAGAAAAAGATGTAGAAGTGTCTATCATTACCACCTCTACTACCACTGAGCAGGCGGTGGATGTCAGCATCTCCAAAGAGGCCATCGAAGTATCCAAACCAGAACTGAGAGAATATCCTGTAATTGTTAATTCTCTCAATGACATGGAGATAGAAGAAGATAGTAGAGTAACCTTCAGCACTACCATTAAGTACGTCACAAAGGTTAACTGGTTTTTCAATGGGCAATTGGTGCAATCTGGCAAAGAGTTCAAGTGTTCCAAAGACCACGACACGTACACAATGGTTATCAACAAAGTTGTCAAGGAGAGGCATCAAGGAGAATATGTTTGTGAGGCTGAGAATGAAGCCGGCAGGACAACAACATCTTCAAGGCTCACTGTGGTCTCAAGAGGTTTGATAACAGGAAAAATCTATGTATCATTCACTCATTCGTCCAATCCATTTTCTTTGACAGCAACTAATCATTCAGTGGATCATTCCAAACCTTTGTCTTCACATGAATATATGCATCACTTTGGTTCCTCTATTCATTTCATAGCTTGGCATGAGCAGTCTAAGCAGAGCACTGGATGATACTAACTCACTCTCTTCTTTTTTCCACATCATCTTGGTCAGTATTTCCTTAAAGGCCAGAACCATCGCAGTCGTAATGTAATTTTATTTCTGAAGTGCATAAGCTTCTCGCTATAATGTTTGTCACGATTTGGCCATTAGGATGTTTACATTGGCATGCAAGTGGCACCAGACTGCTTTGTTTTAAACGTGTTTTCCCATGATCTGTCACCACGTCCACAATGTCTCTCTGCATGTTTTAAGGGCTTCAGATTGCCTCATCTTTCACAAACCAAGAAAATCACGTACACTGATATCATCTTCTTCCAGGCTGCTTTTGGTAAAACCATGGGGCTAATGTTCTGCCATTTTTTGGGTTTTGTTTTTCTCCACAGTCACCTTGGCTTGCCATCCACCATTATTGTACATTCCACCATTCCTTTTCCTAATCTTTTGTTTGTTTGTTTTTACCTAAAGAGTCGCAGTAAATTTCATTACTAACTTGCTTTTTTTGTCTGTGTCTGCAACAGCGCCCCCTGTCTTTAGGCAGAAAATCGCACCTCTGGAGATAAATGTCGGCAGTCACACCAAGTTTGAATGTGAGATTGAAGAAGCTCCGGACGTGGCGTTCAAATGGTACAAATCTGGCACCGAAATCAGACAGAGTGAAAAGTATCGGATCGTCAGCCGCCACACTAGTTCCTCTTTAGAGCTCCTGAACCCTGTCAAAGCTGATAGCGGAGAATACACCTGTAAAGCTTCAAATCAACACGGCACAGACAGCTGCACTGCCTCGCTCATTGTCACCGGTAAGATCCCAAAAGGACCTCGTTTAAATTATCGCTATGCATATATGTGTTTGAGAGAGAGAGAATTATATACAAACACTGTGTTGTACTGTGAATTGTCAAGGTCAAGTGTGGAAGGTATGCTTAGTTTATAGCGCTAAGCTGCTGTATTATTTGGCAGTATATCACTATTAAGAAGCAAAATGTTGCCATGTCATATTGATCACTGAGTTGCACAGGTTTATTTTTAATGGTGGTTTTTTAAACCTGTTGAACTTTTTGTGTGCTCTGCCTGCTCTCCATAGAGATGTACCCACCAGTATTTGTATCAAAACCAGACCCAATGACTTTATATGTGGGAAAACAAGCTGTGTTCCAGTGCTCGCTTACTGGATCCTCGCCTATGGAAGTTGTCTGGCACAAGGACAACATAACAATTTCCTCTGAAGGGAACTATGTCATGAAATGTGAAAAGAACAAGTATTCCCTTCACATTAAAAGGCTTGAACTGACTGATCAGGGAGTGTACCTGTGCAAGGCTTCCAACAGTGTTGGTGTAGCTACTTTTGCAGTAGAACTCAAGGTTATTGACAAGCCCCGGTTTGTTACGGTCATTGAGCCAGTATCTGCAGCTGTTAATGACCCATTGAGGCTGGAGTGCCACGTGAATGAGGACACTGGTGTGGCTGTCACCTGGACCAGGGATGGCAAAAAAGTCCACCAGAGTATGGAGAGTAAACTGTCCTTTGAGGACAAGGTCGCTGTTCTGGAGATCCCCAAGTCCAAACTAAAGGACTCTGGGAAATATGTGTGCACAGCTGCAAACGAGGCTGGCAGCTCCTCCTGTGAGGCTGTGATAACAGTTCAAGGTAAGATCGTAACGGTGATCTTTCCGTTTGCTGTGATGAAAACTTATGCATTTACCTGAAGTGAGGTCAATGTTGACAAGAGTTTTTAGCTAGCTCCAAGCTGATACTAATACTGTGCTGCTGTCTTATGCCTTTTTTGCATTCTTTTTTGCTTTCTTATGTCTTGGTTGACTTTTTTCTATATTTCACCAATGTATAAAAAGTCTTAGTGTTTTTGAACAAAACACTCTTTCAGAGCCCCCCGCCTTTGTGAAGAAAATGGAATCTAAGCTCACATGGAAACAGGGTATAGCTGCACGCTTACAGTGCACAATCAAAGGATCGCCTGAACTTCACATCCACTGGTTCTGGAATGAAAGAGAGCTGAGTAATGGAGACAAACATAAAATATCTTTCAAGAGTGGAGTTGCTACTGTGGAGATCATGAACGTTCTGGTCACAGACAGTGGCAGATACACCTGTGAGGTGTCAAATAATGCTGGGAGTGAAAGCTGCAGTACTCTTTTAGCTGTTAAAGGTTTGTCCAAGGATTTACTTTACATTTACTTCAGTTCAGACAAAAAACAAACTTTGGCATTAACTGCATTTACTTTACCTATGATGCATAGAGCCACCGTGCATTAGAAAAGACCTGCAGACAGTAGAGGCAGTGAAGGGAGCAGCTGCTCACCTGGAGTGCGAGGTCACAGGAACGGCTCCTTTTGAAATCACTTGGTTAAAAAATAAGAAACCCATCACCAGTGATCAGAAATATAAATTGATTTCCCAAGACTCAATAGCAAGGCTGGAGATTCAAACATTTGACACTGCAGATATTGGAGATTATCAGTGTGTCATATCAAATGATGTGGGAAAAGTCACCACTAAGGCTATGGCTAAACTTAAAGGTTAGTAACCTCAAGCCCATCACAGCAGCTGCGGAATCAGATTTAATTCTGTCCATTTTTAACTTGTAATGTGTTTCTGTAGATCCACCAACTTTCTCAAAAAGGGTTGAGAGTGTTACAGCAGTCTTGGGAAATACAGTAAAACTACAAGGAATGATTAAAGGTTCGACTCCCATCACTGTGAAATGGATGAAAGACTCCAAGATGCTAAGAGACGATGATCCAAATATCAAGATGGTTTTTGAGAACGGTGTTGTGAGTTTGTCGATAACAACAGTTGCCATCAGCCATGGTGGCAAGTATTCATGCCAAGCGGAGAACGAGGCTGGGCAACAAAAGTGTGAAGCGATCTTGACTGTGCAAGGTCAGACAGCATCTTTGATGCAGCGATGCCTTTACATATTGTAATATAGGTTTTTATGTCTAAACTCTTTGTCTTAAAAACTGTCTTATCCCAGAACCTGCTAGGATTGTAGAACCTGCAGAGTCCATTAGTGTGACGGCAGGGGACTCAGCCGCATTGGAGTGCACGGTCTCTGGAAGCCCAGATCTCAAAGTGAAGTGGTTTAAAGATGGGAAGGAGATCATTAGTGGCCGTAAATATAAGATGACTCTGAAGGATAATATTGCCACCCTGAAAATTCTTACTGCAGAAAGAGGAGATACTTCGGAGTATAAAATGGAAGTGGCAAATAAAGTCGGGAAAGACCAGTGCACATGCTCAGTCACTGTCTTAGGTTGGCTGCTGGTTTCAGCTACTTCTGAAATTTCCTTTGTTTTAGCTGTGTGTGTTTACACGGAAAACACATTGTATTCATACATTTTGGGAAATGCATTATGCTACAGCCCTAAAATGTTGCGTGTACAATGTTATTTGCTTTTGGATTTTTGCTCAGTGGTTCCTGTCAGTGTGAAACTGCAAATAAATGATTTTTCTTCTTTAACGTCCAGATCGGATAATGCCTCCAGCTTTCACCAAGTCGCTGAAAAGAGTTGACGGTAACATTGATAATCCCGTCTCCATGGATTGCAAGGTGTCTGGGTCACAGCCCATGACTGTGACTTGGTTCAAAGACGACCAGGAGATTGTTTCTGGAGACAAATTCCAGCCTGAATTTAAAGACAGCTCTGCTATACTGAGAATCACGTGGCTAGAAAAGGCTGACTCTGGTGTTTACAAATGCAGAGCCACCAACTCAGCTGGCTTTAAAGAAACCAGCGGCACGCTCTATGTGAAAGGTCACGAAGGCTTGGCTTATCTTATGCATTTGTTTTTTTATGTGAATCATTTCATACTAACGTAAAAAAAATTTGTGTTATTGGCCTCCAGAACCCCCAGCGTTCACAGTGAAACCACACGACCAGGATGTTATTCCAGGAACTACAGTTTCCTTAAGAACAGCATTCACTGGAACAGCTCCTTTAACTGTGAAGTGGTTCAGGGAAGAAAAGGAGATCATTACAGGGGGCACTTATTTCATTAAAAAAGATGCCTCTTCAAGCTCTTTGGAGCTTCACTCTGTAAAGCCCACTGATACCTCGAAATACACGTGCGAGGTATCCAACGATGCCGGGAAGGTAGACTGCACGGTAGTCCTCTTTGTGAAAGGTGCAGTCTTTAGTATCACGTGCAACTTCATAAACCTGACTTCAGATTCAGCCACTGATATGATATTAACCATAAATCTCTTCTGTCTCATACTGGATATTAACCTCTTCTATCAGAACCTCCCGTGTTTGTGAGGAAACCCGAGGCAACCAAGCTCATCACCAGTGGTGACTCTGCCAGGCTGGAGGGCAAAGTAACTGGCAGCCCAGTCATCAGTTTCAAATGGTTCAAGGATGAAATGGAGATCAGTGCCAGTACTAAATACACGATGAGCTTGATCGACTTGATGGCAACTCTAGAAATAGCTAATTGTACAGTAGAGGACAGTGGAGATTATGTGTGTGTGGCATCAAGTGAGGCTGGAAGTGACCGTTGCACCTGCACAGTTATAGTCAAAGGTTGGTTTAGTGTTAGTTTTAACGATTTTGCGTCTTCTTTTCTTGGTGATGTAACTATTTATATTACATGTCTGTTGTTTTGTTGTAGAACCGCCATTGTTTCTGCGTAGCTTGGAGCACAAGGACGTGGTGAAAGCTTCTGAGCTGACGCTAGAGTGCCAAGTCTCTGGTTCTGCTCCTTTTACTGTGTCATTTTATAAAAACTCCAAATTGATTCGGAACGACAAAAGACACAGGATTACTGTGAAAGATGACCTGCTAGCACTGCAGGTTCTTGCAGTAGAAACAGGAGATGTTGGTTTGTACCAGTGTAGTGTTGAGAATGAAGTGGGAAGGGCCTCCTGTGATTGTCATGTAACGCTAAAAGGTTAGTTTAGGTGCTTTTGTTGTTAGCTGCCATAAGCTTCTCCTTACATTTCAAAAGGCTGCATTTTAATCTGTATATTTTGAAATCTTAGCAAGCACAGTTCTCTTTTTGTTCAGAAGGAATTTACTTGAGATTGCTCAGCTTTTTACATCTTTCTTTGCAGAACCACCATCATTTGTTCGAAAGCTGGAGAACCTCAGCTCATTGGCTGGCAGCGAGGTTTCTCTCATTTGCAGTCTGAAAGGTTCTGAGCCCATGACTGTGGCCTGGCTAAAAGACAACCATGAGCTCAAAGAGGCTGAAAACATTCAGATTACATATGAGAACAAGACTGCGCTACTGCAGATCACCAACTTACAGAGCAGTCACTGTGGTAAATACTCTTGCCAGGTGCAGAATCAGGCTGGCAGCCAGACATGCTCTGCTGTGCTGACAGTCAAAGGTTGGTTAAGATATTAAACTCAACTTTGTTTGCACCCTTATTAAAATCTTTGTGTGCCTTCACAGGTTGAAAAACTTGACTGTTTTCTTGCAGTCCTGTGAAATGGGAAGTACACCCTCCTTCAATTCTAAGAGTCCACATATTTGGACATAATCAAAATGTAACTGGCCCCTAGTAGGTCTTAAAATTATGTAACTACAACTTTAAATGAATAATTACACGTACCATAATACACCATAACATTACTTAACAAAAACTCCAAATGCAGAAGTAGTGTGTGAAATACACCCTTACTGCTTCCATAGGAATTACCGGGGTAAATAGCAGTCAGGAAGGAAGGTATGAATGCATTACAGGGTCCCTAATTGGCAGAAATTATTAATTTAAGCAGCTAATATATATTTAAATGTAATTGTGTTCCTGTGATCATTATGTTGGCTTGCAAAAAATGTCTCCCTCTGCTGGCATGGCAGCTTACTGCAACATATTGCAACTTTTGCAAGCATGTCCATGTCACACTTTGAATAATATGAATTATTATTATAATGATTATAATGTAATTATTGGTCATCAGTCACAGTTTTTTAAAAGTGCTCAGAATTACAATTAGATTAAAAAAAATACATGTAAAGCATATAAAATATTCAAGGTAAGGATGTAGGCTTTTACCTTTTAATCTAAACATAAAACAGTATTCCTTATTTTAAATGGTCTTAAATTAAAAATTACTTATATCATCATCTGTGATTTTGCATGTAGACTTTTTGCACAAAGTAGGAACATTTCCATGCACATATCAGTAAATAAGGGTCAGTATTCCCAAGTACACCAGCAAAACTACAACATCATGGCCAAAAATGAAAATAAAGGTGTTGCAAAGGCTTAGTCAAAGTCCAGAAATCAGCAGAAAAGAATTTAGTGATATCACTTATCAATCTTCTTCACATTTCAATTTGATTCTCTTCGATTCTTGCTTCGCTCTCATTGGCTCTCGTCACAAAATAGCATATCAGAGACATCACATTACTTAATTACTCACCGGAGAACGTCATTCGTTGCACAACTCTTTCCATTACTTTCTTGTTGCTTCGTAAAATGCCCTGAAATGTCTCATTAATGCCAGTTAACAATATAAAAATCAGGCTAAAGTTCCACACACCAACACACATTTCTGTCCTAATGAGGGCAAACATACGCTCTGTCCTTTAGAAATGAACACACAACGCTGACAATAAAAGCAAAAAACTCGGCCCACAGAGACTTCAAAGTGATTGTCACACAGACTCTACTGTAAAGCAGAAACAGGAAGCCTGACTGCTCATCCATTTGTTACCTGTCGAAGTTCTGGGCTGGAGTCAGCATTCACTCTGGGTTCTTGGCTAGCTTAGCTGACGATGCAGTTGATGCAGTTTCCACTTTACCAACCTGCCCTTTAGTGCAATAAAAATAAAAGTAATGTTCATATCCACGCTGTAGATGGCGCTGCTATTTTCCTCCTCCGCCACACAAACTGAAATCAGCTGACTGTAGCACGTGCAAGTGGAAACGATGGGCAAGCACAATAACAATTTCAAGGACATGAACTAATGGGCTCTTGATTCCCATCCCTCGACATGAATCTGATATAAATAGTTTGGTGGGACATTAAGAAAGTTATGCTGACAAACATCAGTAAACAGAGTTAAGAGAATGTCCTGATATGTGAAACCTTAGAATGAAGGTGTACTTTTTTTCACATGGCTTTCTAAAATCTGAACATATTAGCAGGAAGTTTCACTTAAGACAATGAGATTTGACTAAAACATTGACGACTTTTATACTCATCCATGCTTGAAATTACATGAATGTGACCTTGTAAGCTGACAAGAACCAAAGTGTAGAATCTTTAGTGTTCTGTAGGCTCAGGTTGATGGTCTGTAGTTGATGTGTTGTAGTATAGGAAGCTTTAAGATCTTTGCTGACTGTTTTTTTTTTTTGGGACACTCCAGAACCAGCAAAAATCACAGAAGAGGTAAAGTCTATCAGTGTGACTCAGGGGGATCCGGCTACTCTGGAAGCCAGGTTCTCAGGCACAAAACCCCTGAAGGTCAGATGGCTAAAGGCTGGCAAGGAGCTGACCTCAGGCCAGAGATATAAAGTGCAGAGCAAAGATACCAGTTCTGTGTTGAAGATTATTAAAACTCAGAAAAGTGATGATGGTGAATATGTCTTTGAGGTTTCAAACGATGTTGGACAAAGTTCGTGTGATGCCACACTCACCATTCTCGGTCTGTTCTTAATGTCTATCACCTTAGTTTTGTTTAATTTAATCTTGCTTTGAACATTGTTTCTCACTCGCCTTTTTCTTTTGTCCACGTTAGATCAAATAATTCCTCCGTCTTTTACAAGAAAACTGAAACAGACAGAGGGTGTCAAAGGATCATTTGCGCATCTGGAGTGTCTTGTGTCTGGTTCTCTTCCAATAACCATACAGTGGTACAAAGATGAGAAAGAGATCCAAACCGATGACAAACACAAATGCACATTCTTTGAAAATGTTCCCTTTCTAGAAATCTCCAATCTCGACACTAAAGACAGTGGCAATTATACCTGCATTGCTACAAATAAAGCAGGAACGGTCCAGTGCTCTGGAGTCTTATTTGTGAAAGGTCTGAACATATTTTTGTACCATTGAGCAGATGGATGTGTACAAAGAAATATAGTTAGAAGCATTTTTACCCAGAATTGCTTTGTCTCTGTCTTTCAGAATCCCCGTGCATTCTTGAAAAACCTGAATCCATAAATGTTTTGCCTGGCTCAAAAGTCCAATTTAGTGTACTGTTCTCTGGCACACCACCACTCACCACCAAATGGTTTAAAAGCAATAAAGAGATCCTGTCCAGTGCTGACTGGTCGGTGATCAAAGATAACACCTCGAGCACACTGGAACTCTTCTTCGCAAAAACCACAGATTCTGGAGACTATGTCTGCCAAATACAGAACGATGTTGGCTCCGCTTCATGCCAAGCAACACTCTTTGTCAAAGGTTATTAATCTTTATGTGAAACTGAGTTGCCAAGTATGCCTCCAGCCATCTGTTGGAGACATTTTTCTCACGTTATATTTGACTTTTCCCTTTGATTCACATTAAATCTCCACTTTCGACTGATAATTCGTACCTAAATTTTCCAAAATACCCCCCTTGCAAGTTCCCAAAACTTGCTATGAGTTTGCTTATGTTATCAACACTTGGATGGAAACATACACTTTGTGAATGTGTCCCCCATGTTGTTCATCTGATGGTTTATCAGTCACTCTCTTTTTTTCCTTAGTGCCTCCAAAGTTTACACAGATCCCAGCCCGTGTGTCTGTAGTTTGTCCTGGTCAGAGTAAGGTTTTTGAGTGCCAGGTGACCGGCACACCTGAGATTGACATCTACTGGTTCAAAGAAGGCTCTGAAATCAGCCCCACTGATCACTATAAGATGGCCTTCGTCAACTCTGTGGCAACACTGGAAGTCTGTGGGGCTGAGGTTAAACATAGTGGGCTTTACTACTGCGAAGCTCGTAATGAAGCTGGCAGTGAGAGCTGCAGCATGGAGTTGAAGGTCAAAGGTGTGTTGAATGTTCATTGTGCTAGAATTACAAGAGCACTGAATTCAAAGCAGTGGTTTCCCTCAAACAAAGAGCTAGACTGATCTGATTTAAGTTAAACATATATGAACTGTAAACCTCTGGACCAGCAAGAAATACTTGCTGGAGTAGAATAGGTTCATGTCCGTTTGCTCTCCCTCATTTCAGAACCGCCATCGTTTATTAGAGAACTGGCTCGAGCTGATGTTGTGAAGGGCTCCGCTGCCATTTTAGAGTGTCAAGTTGCTGGGACGGGTCCCTTTGAGATAACATGGCACAAAGATGGAAAGGAGCTCAAACCCAGTGCTAAACATGCCTTCTCTCAGTTAAATGACACTGTGTGTCTTGAAGTGCACAAATGCGATGCTGTAGATATTGGTGAATATCAATGCACTGTTGCTAACGAGGTGGAAAGCTGTACTTGTAAGACTACACTAAGCCTCAAAGGTTGGTCTAAGCAGAAGAATAATTCTGCATATTTTCATTTGAGGTGAGGTCTTTAAACTTTAATATTTCATTCTTTCCTAATAGAACCACCAACATTCATCAAGACAATTGAGAACACTGCTACTGTTCTGGGTAAAATGGCAGAGTTTCAGTGCATTGTGAAAGGCTCTCCCATCACCTCTGTACAGTGGAAAAAAGATGAGAATTGGATATTGGAGGATCCAAAGATTCAGAGAACATTTGAAAGCAATGTGGCTACACTCCGGATCCCTGCCTGTGAGGCGATACACGGTGGCAAATACACCTGCCAGGTGGTAAATGAGGCTGGGCAGGATAAGTGTTTTGCCACCCTCACAGTGCAAGGTAACTAGTTGCAGCTATAAAATCTTTTCTCTGGCTCAGAAACGTTCTGAATTGTTGACTTTGCTTGGGATTTTAGTGCCTCCGCAGATCACAGAGAAACCTGAGGTGGTAAAGGTTACAGTTGGAGATCCAGTCAGTCTGGACTGTAAGGTTACAGGCTCCCCTGAACTCAGGGTGAAATGGATGAAAGATGGCAGGGAGCTCAAGTCCATCAGGCAGCACAAGCTGATCTTTGAGAACAATATCAGCAGCCTAAAGATTCAGGCTGCGCAGACAGAGGATGAAGGAGAGTATGTCTTTGAGGTGGTAAACTACATCAGTAGCTGTACCTGCAAAGTCAAGCTAATTGTATTAGGTTAGTTTCAAAAACACACCGCTGCTGCTATACATAATAATATGTTCACAAAGTCTAACTTGTGTCTTGGTGTTCTCTTGGCAACAGAGCAAGTAATTGCCCCAAGCTTCATCAAACCCCTGGTAGACATGCACGAGATATTGGGGTCCTTTGTTCAGATATGTTGCAAAATATCTGGTTCTCTCCCCATCTCTGTGGAATGGAAGAAAGATGGAACCAAAATCTCTAGTGGTCTAAAGCACAAGCTCATTCAGCAGGACAACTCTGTGTCCATTGAAATTGAACAGCTAGAGAGATCTGACGCAGGGTTATACTCTTGCAAACTGACTAACGCAGCAGGAAGCTGTGAATGCAGTGGGTCCATCGTGGTCAAAGGTCAGACACTGCTGTTTTTAACACGATTGGTCATATGATCCTAAACCAAAGGTGAGTACATCTTTAACCTTGTCCATCTTGTGTTCAGAACCGCCAAGCTTTGTGACAGTGCCCGAGTCGCAGACTGCTCTACCCAAAGCCACTGCACGCTTCAAAGGCACTTTTAAGGGAACTCCTCCCTTCACAGTCAAATGGTTTAAGGATGACGCAGAGCTTATGACTGGGCCTACTTGTTTAATAGGGCTTGATGGGCTGTCCTGTTTCTTAGAGCTCTATTCAGTGGGCGTCACACAGAGTGGAGTCTACTCTTGCCAAGTCAGCAACGATGCTGGCTCCGTACACTGTAGTGCAAACCTGACAGTAAAAGGTTGGATTTACATCTTTTAAATCAATTCTTGCAGAGATGTGTTTATCTCATTTCTTCATCGCTGGCAAAACCCAATCCTTCAGTTACATTTTGTGTAGCTTTGCAGCATTTTGTTTATCATGTACGGCTTTTCCACTGCTGCGTTTTCTATGAAGCAATATATTTAGCACTTGTATGGCATTCACGCAGCCATTTTGCTTTTCCTTCTAACCCATCATTGTTGGCTTATCTCATCTGCTCACCTCCTGCCCATCTTAACCATGTTAAATGGTGAGTGTTTCCTCATGCCTCCAGCTGATAACATATCTGTGTTTTGGCTTTCCAGAACCACCTGAATTTCTACTGAAACTCCCTGCCAATAAGTTTTTGAAGCAGGGTGAGTCACTCCGCCTGGAGTGCAAAGTCAGTGGCACAGTCCCTCTGAAAATTACCTGGTACAAAAACGACGCCAAAGTTACAGACGGTGGCAACTACAGGACGTCGTTTGTTGACTCAGTAGCAGTGCTAGAACTGGTCTCCACTAGTTTTGAGGATGATGGAGTTTACACCTGTGAGGCTCAGAATGATGCTGGCAGTGTGAGCTGCAGCACTACACTTACCATTAAAGGTTAGCATCCCGTGGACTTCTCAAATATATTTTATTATTCTGATCACAGTGGCTGTTCAGTGTGTTGGTGGGTTATATAGCTGTGCTCCACTGCTTAAAGCTGGTATCCATAACTGATTGCACTACTTTATTTAACAATCCAGTATGGTCGAGGGTCATCTGAGGCTTTTCCCTTTCTTGTACTGCTGAAAAATGTTAATCTGCAAGTCAAAACAGATCATTTCACTTGAGCCAATACATTTTACATAACGCTTCACGCTAAGTTGACTGTAATGCTCTTTGTTAAAATCCAAGTCATTCTACCTATAGCTCCAGCAACATATGTTTGAACTTCTACAACTCTAAAGGAATTCACCATCCTGTCTGTAGTACAACAAATTGGTTTTTTTCCACAAACGTGCTGGCTTGTTGTAGTTTCTGATGCATTTCTATGATTCCATGATCTTAGCTGCAGTGCAAGAAAACATGACATCTCTACACATCTCAGTCTTACAATTGTGTCCATTTGTACTTAGAGCAACCGTTTTGGTATAAAAACATATTCAATTAAATTCCAATTCAATTTTATTTATATAGCGCCAAATCACAACAAAAGTCGCCTCAAGGCGCTTCATAGATACAGAGAAAAACCCAACAATCATATGACCCCCTATGAGCAGCACTTTGGCGACAGTGGGAAGGAAAAACTCCCTTTTAACAGGAAGAAACCTCCAGCAGAACCAGGCTCAGGGAGGGGCGGGGCCATCTGCTGTGATTGGTTGGGGTGAGAGAAGGAAGACAGGATAAAGACATGCTGTGGAAGAGAGACAGAGGTTAATAACAGATATGATTCAGTGCAGAGAGGTCTGTTAACACATAGTGAGTGAGAAAGGTGACTGGAAAGGAAAAACTCAATGCATCATGGGAATCCCCGGCAGCCTATGTCTATTGCAGCATAACTAAGGGAAGATTCAGGGTCACCTGGTCCAGCCCTAACTATATGCTTTAGCAAAAAGGAAAGTTTGAAGCCTAATCTTAAAAGTAGAGATAGTGTCTGTCTCCCGAATCCATACATTTCTAAAATCCAACCCCAGTTCCATCAAAGATGAGACACTGTGTAAAATGTCAATAAAAACAGAATGCAGTAGTTCGTACAAGCCCCTATTTTATTAACGATAGAACAAAAATGACACAGTCTCAGATGTATTTCCAGCAGATTGCGCAGCAGCATACCAAATATGTGTTTACAACTCTAACAGCTCATCTGCATCATAGTTCAAATTCACTTTCCCCAAAATTCCACACCAGTTTAGAAAAATTCCAAGTTCCGTAACAAATTTCAACAATTCCAAAATTTTCACTGAACTTAAACCACACTTAAATTACGGATTTGCTGTCACTACAACTTCCAACTTCATTTCCCACACGTTCTCACTCCCAAAGTGTAACATTTTACGCTAGGTGACAAATCGTCAACATATTACATTTTCGGCTGCCCACCACGTTCCTAAATGACGACCTCGGAAAAATGAGGAAATATGAGAACCGTATGGACTCAATCTACACATGTTCGCTCTTTTTCTTCAAATCACTTAGAAACACGCTATTTAACATCATTAAAGTCCTGGTTAAGCTCAGGAAAAAGGTTATGGTTGGGGCTAGGGATAAGGTTAGGTTTAGGGCTGGAATACAGGGCTGGAACGTCTATTACCGCGGGAGTGTCATTGCACTGGATTTCGCCCATAACCCGCCGCGTACCATAAGAACGCCGAAGGTCTCCTTTCGCGTTCCTCAGGAACGCCGCGGGACGTGACAAAACGTCGGCATGTTACGCCTCGGGAGTGAGAACGGGCTGTCATTTTCCATATTTCTTAGAGATCTGCTATTCTAATTGCAGTTCCAACAAATTCCAAGACCCCAGAAAAATTCCACATTCCAATTTTGTGTTTGGCTAGGAACATGACCCAAACTCAGGACTTTCCTGGTAGCGACTGTGAATTTATTTACAGTATTAGAATAAACAGTGAGAACCAAAAAGTGTTCAAAACAGTGGGATTTCCAAAATTCCCGTGGGTACCTGACAAAACACGACGTAACGATTTAGTAAACGTTTTCACCAGACGATGGCCTGAGACCGCTTTCAGTTTCCGCGAGCCGGGCTTGTGCTAACTTTGCCACTCAGCGATCGAGCGTTGATCGTAGCCCAGCCCCACTGTTAAATAGCAGACGGTTGATGAGGATCGCTGGCAGCAGATGTATCCTGATTGAAGAGCAGGCGTGGCTGTTCTTAGCCCGGGAACGCCACAAGCCTGGTGTTGCCAGAGAACCGGCACACTGGCCACAAACACAAACGCACACAGCGGGAAACAGGGGACTAAAAACAAACCACACAAATGACATAACATTAAAAGCAGTTCGACCAGCGAGGACTGACGGACCATGACAAATTGTTCCATAAAATTTCCACATTAAATATACAATCTTTTCTAAGACTTCATGTTCTTACAAAAATTCCACCCGTTAATCTATAGTAATGTTTTCAACACTGCCAGCTTTGAGCTTCATTCAACAGTTATGGGTTCCAGCTTTAAGATCTAGATATGAATTGTTTCCCTCGTGTATTCCTCTTTAACGGTTCCATCATCTTCCTATAGACCCCCCATCTTTTGTCAAAATACCCCAGCCTGTTGAAGGGCTGAAGGGTAAGGACGTAAGTCTGTACTGCGAGATGAGTGGTACAGCTCCATTCCAGATCACCTGGTTTAAAGACAGGAAACCTCTCATGGAGAGCAGGAAGTTTAAGCTGGTGAGCGAGGGCAGCTCGGCCACACTGCATGTCATTGGAATAGAGCCCTCAGACGCCGGCGAATACGAGTGCAAAGTGTCAAACAGTGTAGGAAGCGATACCTGCCAGACATCAATTAAACTCAGAGGTCAGTAGAAATCGCGATAGCATTAAATTAAAATAATATAAAATAAAATTAGATTTTCAAATGACTTTGTCACCTTGCTGACTTTGCCTTTTGCGCTGTTTTTCTCCTCTCTTCAGAGCCACCATCATTTGTGAAGAGACTGTCAAACATTACAGTGATACTGGGAGGGGAGGTGACCCTTGTGGCCACTGTTAAAGGCTCTGAACCCATTACTGTGTCCTGGGTTCAAAACAAGGATCACATTCTCAGGGACAGTGACAACAGGAAAATCACCTATGAAAACAACCAGGTGGCAGTTAAAATCTTTAACGCTGATGCAACTACGGCAGGCAAATATACCTGCCAACTCAGAAACGATGCTGGGAGTGTGGAGTGTTTCGCTAACTTGACTGTTCTAGGTTTGTAATCATATAATTCTCTCTCTTTCTGTTTTGTTTTTCCACCTGCAGCCTGAATGTGTGATTTTAAGTATTTTCTGCTCCCTGTCTGTTGACTGCAGAGCCTGCTAAAATAGTGGACAAGCCCGATGCTCTGAGCGTGACGGCAGGTGATATGGCTGCCCTGGAGGTCAAAGTGTGTGGAACCCCAGAGCTCATACCCAAGTGGTTCAAAGATGGTGCTGAGCTGGCTTCTGGGAGAAAATACAAAATCTCATTTTCCCGGATGATTTCCAGCCTGAATGTGCTGTCTGCTGAGAAAGTTGACTCTGGAGAATACACGTTTGAGATTATGAATGAAGTTGGGAAGGACCTGAGTAAAATCAACCTCACTGTTTTAGGTAGGTAACGTCTTTGTACCTTGAGCTGGAATAAGCTGATCAGTGTGTTCACCCATTACCCCATTGACATGAGGGAAGAGGATTCATTGAAAGTACTTTTACCCTAGTATCGTATTTTTCGGACTATAAGGCGCACTGTCGATTTCGGAGAAAATTAAAGGATTTTAAGTGCGCCTTATAGTCCAAAAATTACGGTACTTTTCTTGACAAATGGATACTCTTTAACAGCATTGTTTGTTTCCCTCTGAAACAGATAAGACGATTCCTCCAACATTCTCACGGAAACTGAAGGACTGTACCACTGTCGTTGGAAAACCTTTAGAAATGGAGTGCAAAGTGTCAGGCTCATCTCCTTTTACCATTTCATGGTACCACAATGACGAGGAGATAAAGAGTGGGCCAAATTATGAGATTTCATTCAGTGACAACAACTGTACACTAAAGGTGCTCACGCTGAAGCTGGCTGACTCTGGAGCATACAAGTGTAAGGCTGTCAACAAGGCGGGAACCACAGAAACTACAGCCTTCCTGGTTGTTCGAGGTCAGTATCCCAATCCCAGTGTCCCAGTCAAAGAAGTCTTTATGTTGCTGCTGTCTGTTGAATGTTTCAGCACCCGTTTCTCTGAGCTGCCCACACTTAATTCAGTGAAAAGCAGTGGCGTGTCTAGAAGATTTTTGTTGGGGGGGCCAAGTAGGGGCACAGATTTGGAGTGGGGAGATGTAATTGGCAGATAATGTTAAAAAAAATTCTACCAACCATTAACCATAATTCAATAACCCTAAAAACTAAAAAACCGAATGCGCTTTTAACTGTTATTAGAATGAGATTTTAACCACTACGGTGCAAAGTTTTTAGATACTGCGTTGATAAAGTACAAGAGATACAATCAGTCAGTGTTTATTCAGCAGTCAAGGACATCAATATTTGCATAGTATTTTTACTGACATGTAGTGCACATATGTTTTGGGCAAAAACATTTTTGAATATTAAAATATGAACATTTTTAACATACAATTGGCAAATTAGCCAATGCAACACTTTATCTGCCTATTAATTAAAAAAGAAGATAATCTTCTCACAAACTGGTGTTTGATTTTGAAACAGGAAAAAAGTGGGGAAACAAATGAAAAGACTAACATTTGAATAAAAGCTGAAAGCAATTAAATACTTTCTTTGCTGCCTTATGGTAAACTTTGGTAATATTGATAAAGAACAACACTGGCTGATGATGAAATACAGTCAGCCGGCATGGTGACACTGCCAGTATTAACCTGCAGGGCTGGACTGGGACAAAAAAATTGGGCATTTTGACTACAGACCAGCCCACCAGGTATTAAAGCCATAAAGCCTTTGAATGAAAACAAATGCTGTTGTGACAGTGATGTACACTTGATGTCTTGACGTCAGATAAAAACTTTGTTCACAAGATTCAGATAATTATTTATTAAAAGCGAGACATTTTAAATGAGAATAAGAAAGAAAAGTATTTCTTTGTGCCCCCCTCTCCCTGTTAATGCCCTACCTGGCCCCCTGGCAAAACTTTCCTAGATCCGCCCCTGCACAGTTACGAGCTGTCAGCTACTTAGAAAAGGATCCTGGTGTTATTTGTCTCTCAGAAACAGTTCATAACTTCAACTCATCCATGTCACCTAAAAGGTAAACCTGTTTCTCCATCACCTGTTCAACTCTGATGATTCAGTAAGGACATCTCCTGGTTTCATCTTCATGTTTCCCTCTCACTAGGGTGGCTGTGGCTACAATGTAGCTGCCATCACCAGTGTGTGAATGTGTGTGTGACTGGATGTGTAAAGCGCTTTGGGGTCCTTAGGGACTAGTAAAGCACTATACAAATACAGGCCATTTAGGATATCCAAACCGACATCATGACCAGCAGCTTTGCAGCTGTGGCTCCAGCAAACATCAGCTGATACTAGAAATTATTATTAAATAAATTCTAACAACAGCTGATCAAGCTTAAATGTGCTGCTGTTGTTTAGCGCGACATCCGCTGGTTTCCTGTTTCTGGTGCAAAGTGGGCGATAAACAAACAAGAGAGAAAAGCCGATCAGCTGATCATTGATCAGTTTCATTATTGAAGTAGGAACAGGAGAGGGAGGGGGAGAGAGAGAGAGGAGAAGAGGCATCTGCAGCGTAAAGACAGAATAAATCCAACTTTGTGTCTTTTTTTCCTTATAGCTGAAGTCCGGGACAAACTGCGTCTCTTCTCAGCTCAATACGGAAACGCGTAATATTTTCTCTGAATGCGGGACAATTTCATTTTTACAGGACGGTTGGCAACTCTACTAACTAACCTTATGAATAAAGTTCACTATCAGTAACATCATAGCACCCACCCAGCTGTACAGAAAGTTCATCATGCTAGCTAGTAGCAGTACGAGTTATTGTAACTGACTGTAAAAAGTCAGCACAACGAAAATAAACTCCACCTAAACTTTATAGGGTTTATATCTGACCCAGATAGACTGCAGGTCATAACTTCTTACCTGAAGTTCAGTTCACCTGACACTCGGACTGGCGGCCGCTGTTCCAGATTAACTGGCACTTAGATCAACTGGATTTGGTCGAACAGATGTGTGGCACACATCTGTTCACAAAAAAAACACCAAATGTGTCACCTGTGACACTTGTGAGGTTATCTCAAACACACTCCGTCAGTCTTGATGCTGTTGAACAACAAAATGTTTAAAAATGTGGCGAGTTTACCCGATCGCAAAAACAGCAAACAATTAACACCACGCCGATGTTGTTCACAGGACAGCAAGAGTAAACGATCGGGAGACTCTAGTCGTTGTTATCGTTCCCCTCCTACGTTTTATTACTCCGATTTCAGCGTTTTTGCTTCTCAATAAAGCGAGCAGTTTACTTTGTGCACTAACATGGACTCGAATCAACCAGCGCCACCTCTGGCCAAGTGCCACAGCCTACAGCCAGATCAACCTGTGACACACATCTGCAGCACGTTTGAATTTGTTTCATGCACAACACATTTGTACCTTTCAATCGTGTCTGTTTGTGCGTCATGCAAATAAACCTTTGAAATGAATGAAATGATATCATGTATCTATTATTTGCATAAATTTGTACAAAATTCCAAATTATATACACAAAATCATAAGAATCACCACCCTTGTTCATCATGATTTTAATATTCTCTTTTTCCATAACAATGAAATACGCTTTGGACAAATATGACATATCAATATTTCATCAGTGTTGTCACATCACATCCTGTAAACAGAGTCTGTCTGTATCTTTTCTCTGGAAATGAATATTTCCAGCCAATATAGGCGATCCATCAACATGGCTGGAGAGTTGGTGGTTATATACAGTCTGTATAAGTGTGGTTAATCTAATGAACATTTGTAAGGAGATGGCAGTTACTGTGAATTTACAGCAGTTACACAGTGATTAGTAATAAACAGAGCCAGTGAGAGTGAGTGGATTTAAGAAAGTCAGTGACTCAGGTGTGTCGATTGGTTTGTCATCTGTTGTTGAGTCTGGAGGAGACGTAGAAATCTTTTGTTTTAGATCTTAGTTAGGAAGATTCCTGTTTTAAAACAAGCACTTTTTGTGAGAAATGCAAGAAGTACATCTGCAGAAAGCACACAGTTACATTCTGTCCATCATGTGGACAAAACTGAAAATGTTGAACATTGAAAAACTGAGAACGTTGGTTAAGTTCAACAGAAATGTGTTTGTAAGAACAAAAAACCAAATTGTTCCTAACAATAGTTATGGAAATGTCAGCAATGTGGATTGTCAACACTAAAAACAATCAGTAAGCAAAGACAACAGGGATCAATTGTTTCTGTTTATTTAGCACCCACAACATTTGTAGTCGCCTTCTGCACAGGGGAAGTCCACACACACTGTGTGGTACCACTTTCCACAGAAGGTGCATTCAATCTGCAAGACTGAATGAGATTGTCAGAGTCATTGTCTGACTGTTTATTACTAATCACTGTGTAACTGCTGTACATTCACAGTAACTGCCATCTCCTGACAAATGTTTATTAGATTGATCACACTTATACAGACTGTATATAACAACCAACTCTAAAATGTTTGTTTGCAGAGAAAAGACACAGACAGACTACGCTAACGACATGTGATGTTACAACACTAGTGAAATATTAGTGTCATATATTTGTTCAAGACATTTTTCTTATGGGCAAAAATATCAAAATCATGATGAACAGGTGATTCCTTTGACTTTGTGTATATAATTTGGAATTTTGTACAAATGTAGGCCAATAATAAATACATGATATCATTTCATTCATTTCAAAGGTTTATTTGCACGACGCACAAACAGACACGACTGAAAGGTACAAATGTGCATGAAACTAATTCAAACGTGCTGCAGATGTGTGTCACAAGTTGATCTGGCTGTAGGCTGTGGCACTTGGCCAGAGGTGGCGCTGGTTGACTCGAGTCCATGTTAGTGCACAAAGTAAACTGCTCGCTTTAGTTGTGAAGCAAAAACGCTGAAATCGGAGAAATAAAACGTAGGAGGGGAACGATAACGACGACTAGAGTCTCCTGATCGTTTACCCGTGAACAACATCGGCGTGGTGTTAATTGTTTGCTGTTTTCTCGATCGCGTCGCGCATGAGACACTCACCAGGTAAACTCGCCACATTTTTAAACATTTTGTTGTTCAAAAGCATCGAGACTGACGGAGTGTGTTTGAGATAACCTCACAAGTGTCACAGATGACACATTTGGCGGGTTTTTGTCGGTAGCAGCTCCTGAAATGCAAGTCTGCCACACATCTGTTCGACCAAATCCAGTTAATCTAAGCGCCAGTTAATCTGGAACACCCCCTCGGGTCTCTCCTCCTCCTGCCTCCCCTTCCCTCATCCACCTGGCCTCTGAGGAAGCTCCGCCATAGCCACCACCAAACAATGGAGTTATTTTTACACACCGGCCAGCATCTGGCCAATCCACCACCTCTCATTGTTCATGTCGTTACAAGAAAAAAGTCATCAGCCCACCGGGCAAATGCCCGGTATGCCCGATGGCCAGTCTCTGAATCGTTCAATACTCGTGAATCACTTTACTGACTCGTGAGTCATGATTCACAAGCCCAACTGACTCACTGACTCATCCCTGTTGCTGTTAGCAAACTAATTCTTTAAGTGTTATTTTTTTTTCCCCTTGGTAAGTTTACTAAACTCAACAAACGTAATACTACTTACCGGGACATTTATTCTCTCCTCATTTTCTTTCGCAAAAAATTGTTTTCTGCCATACCTCTTTCGTGCTCGTCCTTCCTTTGTTAACGCGATGCTCATAGTGCAGAAGCCAATGCTGCATTCACTTACCCTCGGATATCTGAGCTTCACTGTGAAAACATAATCGTACATTTTATATTTGATTGAATTTTATTGTTTTAGTTTCGGGGTGCCACCTAGGGTGGACAGTCTAGTTGGGGGTTGGCCCTGCTGGACACGCCACTGGTGAAAAGGGACAACGTGGCGATCGTGGCTCAAGAGTTGGCAGTTCGTCTTGTAATCGGAAGGTTGCCGGTTCGAGCCCCGGCCCCGACAGTCTTGGTCGTTGTGTCCTTGGGCAAGATCACTTCCCCTGTTACCTACTGGTCAGAGGGCCCAGTGTCGCCAGTGTCCGGCAGCCTCGCCTCTGTCAGTGCGCCCCAGGGTGGCTGTGGCTACAATGTAGCTGCCATCACCAGTGTGTGAATGACTGACTGTAAAGCACTTTGGGGTCCACAGGGACTAAATAAAGCACTATACAAATACAGGCCATTTACCATTTACAATGAAAAACAGTTCTGTGACAAATAAATCCTACAGTCCATGCACAAAACCATCTGTGTCTGTTCTCAGCAGAGTATGCACACAGAGCTCTGCAACATCACAAATCAAATCCAAAGTGACAATGTTCTTTGATTACTGTCTTTGTACTTACATCCTGACAGACTAGTCACTAGTCATGTGTTAAAAATAGTGGACTGATATCTAAAAGGAATTTAAAATTTGTAAAAATCAATATTTATGCAGAATGTATCTGATATAGTCTTGGATTTTGACTGCATTATTGAGGAAATGTTAGAAAACTGTTTCAGGCGTAACAGGTGGTGTTTTATATCAAAATTCACAATAACGGAATTCAATAAAATTTTATCTATTCATAAAGCACCAAATTATAACAACAGTTGCCTCAAGGTGCTTTATATTGTAAGGACCCTAAAATATAGTGTTCAGTACTTGCAGAGCCCACTCCCAGTGGCTCTGAAGGTTCAAATGCACTGCAACCTGAGAAAACACCAGCAAATAGACAATTGCAGCAAAAGCACACAAAACAAACGGAAATATGATTAAATTAAAAATTATTTAGGCGAGACAATAACATGAGAGAACAGCTGTGGATTGAAAGAAGTGTTGGAGCAATGATTCATGTAATCCTGTAGATACATATTTGCTATCAGTCACCTTCTCAGCTGTTCCGTCACATTATTGTCTCCTTTAAATCAATATTGTTTTTGTGAGGTTTTGTTTTATTCCACTGTGAACATTATTTTGCAGTTTTCTACTTGCTGATGTTTTCTTTGGTTGCAACCACTGTACCAACCAGGTTGGGAAAAGATACAAGCAGCCCACAGGAGACCACCTGTGTTGGTTCCTCTGTGGTGCCCACACATGTCATGGGCCCCACCTGTCATCATATCGTTTAGCTTTCCCTGATGCTATGCTCTCTATTTGTTACTATTGCAGCTTCTTTTTAGCCCGTTCTGTTATTGCCCTGACAATTCTATGTCTGATGGAAATGTTTGATATTTCTGTTTGGACCCAGAACCTCCAACGTTTGTGGTGCCACCGCAGCCAGTGGAGGCCATGCCAGGCTCTAACGTGACGTTCTCAGCCATGGTGAAAGGCAGCGCCCCTCTCAAACTCAAGTGGTTCAGAGGGACGAAAGAGATCGTAGCTGGACATGGCTGCGATTTCTCCCTGGATGATAACAAAGTTCTATTAGAGCTTTACAACGTGGACAAATCTCATGCTGGAGAGTACACCTGTCAGATCATTAATGACGCAGGAAAAGAAAGCTATCCAGTGAATCTCACTGTCAAAGGTCGGCCAGAAAGAACTTATTTCTTATTTCACTAAAAAATATATTTTTTTTAAAATGTGGTTAATCCCAGGTAATTCATGGTTTAACAAGTGGGTCAATTCCTTTTTCACACAGGAAACTTTAGGTTTTTCTTGTCTATAAATGTCTTCTAACGCAATAATTTTAATAACATATCTGGTTGTGTTTTTTAGAGCCAGCAACTTTCTCAAAGAAGCTGAAGGACATATCAGTTGAGAAGGGCAAAGCATTAACTCTGGAGTGCACATACACGGGCACCCCCATGATCACTGTGAGCTGGTACAAAGATGGCCAGCAGATCTTTGCTTCATACAAATACAACATTACCACAACAGAAAGCTCCTGTATCTTGGAGTGTCTCAGCACTGATGACAAGGAGGCTGCAGGAAAATACTGCTGCCAAGTGAGCAACGATGCTGGGAAAGACACGTGTGAGGCAGTGGTTTCTATCCTCGGTTAGTACAAGATCACTGAAGCCATTCTGTTTGGGTTCGTTTGTTGATTTGTTCGTGCAAAATATTCTTGGGCAAGCGTCCGATGCATCCACCAGAGTACAAATGTGTGTGAATGTTAGAAAGAGCAACACAAACTGAATAGTTAAAAGAAAGAAAAATGACTCTTATTAGGTAATAATCGAGAGTCAAACTTTATACTCTCTTCAGAGCCGACCACCTCAACAAAACCTTTCCTTCTGATTAGGCAAATTAGGAGGCTCTACTTAGAAGCAGTGTGCAGTGGTTGTAAACCTGCAGTAATAAGTAACAAACTGATATCAGCACATTGCAAAGGTATAAAAATATGGAAACCTCAAACATACAGAAGTCAGAGGTTTTGCATTATGGATGTTACAGTCGCCCACTTTTAATCAGTAAAATTGCATATAAGACTATATGATGAGGAAAAGCCTGATAGGTTAATCTATAAGCAATAATACATACAACCACACTCAAAGCAAGACTTATTATATGTGTAGCCAGGGCTGGACTGGGACAAAAAATCGGCCCGGGCATTTTGACTAGAGACCGGCCCACCAAAAATGTGACGTCATTCAGGGGTAAAACCGCAAAGGATTCTGGGAACTTGTGGCAAGCGGTACTAGCGCATGCAGGCTTTCAATTGAACTCAGTTACACAGCGATAAAAAGAAACACAAAAAATGGCAAGAAACTGTTGTATTATTAACTGCAATAGTCGGTGTTGTGCCAAAAACTGATTTCCGGTATTTGCCAAAAACTGATTGCTCGTATTTAAATTGCTATAAGTAACTTGTTGGGCTATAATATGTGAAACATATGTCAAATGCATCCTTCATGGATGACATAAAGTCATATTGAGCTACAAACAACATTAGTGTAACAAGGTAGAAGCCGCAATCAGTCTTTGGCAGTGACTTTTATATAACCTTTATTTATGCCGTTAAAAAAAGTCAAATTAACATTAAAAATGTCTTTTGTAAGAAGTAGTTGGACAGCAGAAATGGCTCAAATATTACAATAGTTCTGTAAAAATATTTAAAGTGGGGATAAAGGACCGGATTGGTTATAATGTAAGTACAATAACACAGAGTTGTAAAGATACTTGAAAAAACAGATAATTTTTAAATTCCATATATAGCCCCTTTGTAAACGCTGTTCACCGAAGTCTATTTACCAACATAGATATTACAGCCACGGGAAGCCGACGGGTAAAGAGATCGGTTGTTATCGGATTACGTCGTGGAAATTGTTTAAGGCATGTTTCGGAAGTAACAAAGAGCCGATGGATGGTCTATAAGATTGCTAAACAAGGGGGAGGGTGCATCCAACCTCCTCGGCTGTAATTGGTCCAGCCCAGAGTCGATCATGACCAATTGGCCAATCCAACACCTTTCATTATTTATACCCTTCCAAAAAAAAATAAAAAAATCGATCGGCCCGCCAGCGCCAGCGGCCCACCGGGCAAATGCCCGGTATGCCCGATGGCCAGTCCAGCTATGTGTGTAGCTGTCCCAAAGCCTGGAGATCTGATTTAATTTACAGTGTGTCCCTTTGTTTTCTGGCGTTTGCACACACAGAGCCACCATATTTTACCGAGTCACTGGAGCCCATGGAGGTGACAGCTGGAGATGCTGTCTGTCTGAAATGTCAGGTCGCAGGCACACCTGAGATCAAGGTGTCCTGGTTCAAGGCTGATGGCAAAGTCAGGTCTAGCCCCACCTGCAAGCTGGAGTACACAAAGGGTGTTGCCTGTTTGAAGCTAAGTAAAGCCACCAAGTCCGATATCGGAGAGTACACCTGCAAGGCAGAGAACAGGATTGGCTCTGCTTCCTCCAGCTGCAGACTCAATGTGCTAGGTAAAACAAGTTTTCCAGAGTACTGCGTTTACACCTTTGTAAAAATCACTGGCTTTTCAGACTAATGTTTGCCATGTGTTTATCTTTTCCAGAAGCTAAAACGCCACCATCATTCCCAAAGAAGATCACCAGCCTGCAGCAAACCGAGGGCCAGCCAGTGCGCTTTGAGTGCCGCGTGGCTGGCTCATTGCCCATCGAGGTGTCCTGGCTGAAAGACGGCAAACCTCTGAGTCAGGGGGAGGAGTTCTCCATGCTGTATGATGATAACACAGCGGTTCTGCAGATCAACAACAGTGAGATGAGGCACTCTGGGGAGTACACTTGCGCGGCCACCAACAGCGTGGGCTCAGCTTCATGCAGAGCCAAGCTCACTCTGCAAGGTGTGTGACGCATGACTGGATGGTTGATTCATTAATACTGGATGATTATGAAGCAAACAGTGTAACGTTTAGATATCTCAGCATCACCTGCTGATTCTGACAAAAACTCTTCTATTTATTGTGAAACTGTGAATTTAGGAGACCTCATGTCGTCTGGTCTATGCTCCTCACGTTTCTGAAAATGCCCCATTCTGTTCTACTTAACCACCTTTCTCTTTCACGTTCTCAAAGTGTCTTTTGTTTACTATTTTTGACAGCACTTTGGTCAGATGGTGCTGGGCCGTTTAAGGCCCCAAACTGTTTAATCTTGTCCATCTAAAGATTTGTTCTTTTATCTTCCTTTCATTCATTCGCCACTCTGCAGAACCCAGATACCCTCCGGTATTTGACAGGAAATTGTCACTACAGGAGGTGACAGTGGGTGACAGCATTGAGCTGGAATGTCACATGACTGGTTCTGCCCCCATTAAAGTCACTTGGTCCAAAGACCACAAAGATATTCGCTCTGGGGGGAATTATAAGATTAGCTGTGTGGAAAATACACCTCACCTGACCATTCTGAAGGCAGATAAATCAGATACAGGGAGATACTTCTGCCACGCCTCTAATGACATGGGGAAGGACTCTTGTTCCTCTGATATCACTGTCAAAGGTATTTGAACCTGGGGCACACTCACGCCATCTCGGCTCTTTCTTCTAAAGCATTCACGTCTCTCGAAGGACATTGTTTTGTCTTGGAAAGCTGCTCCCCTTCTCATCATTCTCACTTTCTTCTCTTGATTTCAGAGCGCAAAAATCCTCCAGTGTTCACCAAAAAGCCCTCAGAACACATCGAGGACATGGAGGGCAAACTGGTGAAGATTGAGGGCCGAGTCTCCGGGTCGCAGCCCATGTCAGTCAGCTGGTTCAAAGATGACATGGAGATACAGAGTTCTGACAAGTATGACATCAGCTTTAAGAGCAATGTGGCAGTGCTGTGCATTAAAAACAGCCAAGTGATTGACAGCGGAAGGTACTCGTGCCAGGCCTCTAATGAAGCTGGGAAAGCCTCGTGTGATGTCACTGTTGGCATCTCAGGTATGTTTGATTTAAAGTCGAAGCGTAATTGATGCTCACAGAATGACAGCTAGCAGGAATGATTAAAAAACGACGTAGCTTATTTAGTGGTTTGGTATGTTTATCGAAGTCTCTGGTTTTCTTTATTCCGTTGTTATAATCTTTGATGATTTGGACTGTTGGTTGAACATCTTGCTTAAATTGTTAACTAATGAAGGCTTCAATCAGACTTTTTATCCTCATGTATATTTGCTTTTTAACCCTGTTATTCAAATTTAGTTTGAAGCTTTTGTCATTTTGACAAAAAGTCTAAGTCTTTGTTTAAAGATGTGCTTACATAGTTCATGAATCTGAGCACTGACAGCACGGATGCACCGATACCGATACTGGTATCGGGTATC